ATCATGTCCACAGTGTACCCATCTTCTGATGGCTGCTTCAAGCAGGATCTCAAACCATTAAAATACTCTGGAAATACTACAAACTCTCATCTCACGCATAACCATCCTGAGATAAGGTAACAAACTTGCATTAAATCGGCTCAACCAAGGAACCATTCAACACGGGACAACTTACCTTGACAAAGCTACCACAAGCTAATGGTTCAGTCACATTTTCAATATAATTGAAATAAGATAACTCTGTTATTGGACAAAATAGGAAATAATTTGCAGTTGACAACATTGTACTGTGAGGGAAGGACAGTACTGTTACAATATCATATTTGCGGGGTGTGTGGCGTTTCCCACATCGAGTACCAAACGTCAGCTCAATTATTTACTTACTTCTGGTTTTCGTCGGTCAGTTTCTTTATCACTTGGCCGAGCGTGAACAAGCTGCGGTTTATATTACAGCCTTCTTTGAAACGTGTACCTAGGACACAGAACATAAAGCAGAAAACTGGATTGCTGAAAAATGTGGAGACTGCAGCATACACTTGCAAGGTTACCCCAACATGATATCCAACCATATTCAAAAAACAAAGAATGCTGGATTTAAATCCACATTACCTTCAGCTCCAGTTTGACTTGCTCTCTCAGATCCGGCCAGATCCACTAAATTCTGCCAGATGAAGCAAAACCGTTAGCTACCAAACAAAGGAAAGAAGACAAACCAGGCCAACGATGAAAGAGAGGTAGCCTACCAAATGAGACACAATGATGGCTCCATCACTACTTTCACCTGATGCTGGGTCGCTCCTTTCCCGGCTCTCCAGGATCTAAGAAAAAGTCCATTGTGAGAAATGCATTTCCAAAGACTCCCACATGACTGTAGCTATATGCTTCTTACCATCCGGAAAATAGTGTGCGATCGGCTGCTCCGCTGGTTCATTTTTGTCTTTCCATAATGTCGGTTCTCTGGAGAGGGACGGTACAGAAAATGTACTGCTTGTTATGGTCTGTACTAAGAAAAAAAAAAAACTCTTGGAATTCATCCCAAGTCTTACTTTCTCCTTTCCGAATCCATGCCAGGACTTGTGCAGGAGATGTAACCAACTCTTCAGTCAAATCAGCCACATAGATGTTTTTCTGCAAACAGTAATCATTAACATACAAAGCTCATGTAAAACAGCACACTACACTTCATAGCATTACAGCACTCCTAGAGTCTGAGACACGTCACTGCTAGCGATTTGGAATTAACACAGAAATGCTGAGAACCAAACCTCTAAGTAGTGTTCTGAATCTAGTCATCTAAATGATCAACCTACATTGATTTGTTCTCTGACTTCTAGAGGTTTTCTTTTCCAGCTGTCGACAAGCAGGTCCGTCACAGTCTCGTTGTAGATCTCCATGTAGGACACTCTGAGAAGGAACTCCTTCTTGGGAAACTTGGGTTGAAAGAGAAGTGAGCCTTTAGGATGAAAAGTGACTGATACCAACCGCAGCAAATTTCAAACATGTGTCACCATTCTTACATTCTTAATGGTTTGAAAGACATCCTCCACAGCTTGAGGTATCACTCCGAGGGTGCGACTGGTCCCCATCATGGTGAAGGTCTTTCCAGAAGAAGTTTGCCCGTAAGCAAATATGGTTCCTGTACAGCAAACACAGAAAGTAAGAGAAGAAACCATGCCGCCCAACGAGGGATCAAACATTGTTTCCTGCACATACCGTTGTATCCCTCGACAGTGGAAACAACCAGAGGCTTTGCAATGTCATTGTACAGCTGACTGGTCGTTTCATCAGCGGCAAACACTCGGTCTGTTAACAGAGAAAGGTTAGTGTTCACATTCCCGTTACTGTGAAACAAAACCAAAATAAATCGCTGATTTTTTCTGCGTGTTTGAATACTGACCAAAGCTGAAGCTCTTGGTGGAATTTCCATCATCAATCTGATGAATTGATTTCTTGTCAGCTTTCCAGAAAATCTGGACAGGCTCTGCATTCTCGGATGCACTCTCTTCCCTGAACAAAGACACACATTCCACACACATAAGCACAAACAGTGAGATGCTTTCTTAACAACAGGTTACTATTGCTCTGCATCGATACACCTCTTGTTGCTTTCAATCAGCAAGGCAAGCATTATATTAAAGAAAATCAGGACCGCTTCATGTTGTAGTGGTCAACACATTTGTCTTACATCGACAGTTTGTGTCTGGGAGTAAACAAACCCAGCCTCAGGGGTCACAAGCTGATCTACTGCTAGTGTCAGTCCGGAGCCCAGGTAAGTGACAGGGCTGAGGCAAGAGGTGCATTGAGGGTTGTACAGAACCCATTGCCAAGAGTATTTGCTGTCTTTTGTCTAAACTGTGCATCTGTCACATAACCACTGTTAGTCAAGTGTCATTTAACCACCTGCTGTATACTTTTAAATCTGCAAAGGGAACAGGCTGGGAGCAAACAGGCATTTTTACAATGACGGAGAACTCTCACTTCACTGCGGATGATATGAAAACCACCCTGATCCTTCTGAGCGTTCCCAAAGTTGGCACTCCTTGAATCAGCTCACAGCCAGCTGTTCCAGTGTTGTGGCAAAAATACATCAAACGTATTTTGAGTCAGACAAGGTCAATCAAGATTTGGTAAGTAACGTTTACATATCTTTTATTTACCCGGGTAAAACATGTCACTGACATTAAAAATACGTTTTTCAAGATAGATTTGATCTGGCCAAGAGGGCAGCAGAATTTGTAAGAAATATTACATCACATTTCTATAAGCATATTTTAGTGAGCAAAAAAAGACTTGGTTATAATGTGGCTACAACGAAGCCCAGTCATAGAGATGAAAAACAGCTCGTTTCTTTACTTTATATATAATCCATTCAGAAATCCTGTTTACTACAGTCTATTTTGTGATATGATGTAAAGATATTACACATAACAACACACAGCAACATCGGAAATTACTTTTTAGCCCCGGTAACGCAGTCTGCTAGCTGCCTCGCACTCGTTTTCAGCTCAGAAACCTTTTTTCGTGCTTGATTATGACATGTCTGTTCTGGTCGGGACACCGTCGAAACAAAAAACGCTTTTTTCCCTGGTTCTGTGAAACTTCATTAAAGAGACGCGACGTTTACTTGCCTTAACTGCTAACACTTTAGCGCCAGAGCCGACTCTGAGGTTGAAATAACTGACGAGTTCAAAATGCTACCGGGGCAATGTCAACAGTTAACGGGAATTTTTTAACGCGGCAGCGCCGCCGTCCAGGCTCACCTCGCAATAAGCGGACGGACTCGAACGCAGACTTTTACCGCTGACTCCTCTGTCATCTTCGCTCCTTCGGTCTATCTCCAAAAACAACACAAAATGCGAGCAGGAAGACCAACGCGCTTTTCTCAGTTTGAATTTTTGCTCCTGACGTTTGATTGGCCAACATCTCCGCGTGGACTGGACCATTTGTGTTTGTGAAACGAGGACGATAAATGATCGGCTTAGGTTTTGGTTAATGCTGTGCTTCTACAAATCTATCTTAACTGAGAGTTTGAGGTGATGGATCTGAATATGACACTCAATGAGACTAAAGTAGTCTAGTTTTAAAGACTGAACATAAAACCAACATTGACGTGCCCGACTGACGACAAACATGTGCGCCCGGCCTTGGTGGCGTCATCAAATTGCACCTTGTGCAGAACCACGCGAGAGAGTGGAGGTGTTTTGGGTTCGGTGGTTGCAGGGTTTGTCACGTTTGGAAACCCTTGGATGGGAGATCTGATAAAGTTCGCGTTGTTCTGCTGCTAACATGTCTCTGTTTCTCGTGAATAGGTAGGTCTGCTTTGATAGTTTCAGATCTTATATTTCATTTACAAAGTTTTATCCAGATGTGTGCCACTTTACGGACATATCCAGACAGATGTGAACATTGTCACAGCCCACTTTATAACTCTGTCTCGCTTTGATGGAGTAAATAAAACTGGCCTGTGGAAGCTTTCGGTGTTCCAGATTTAACTGGTGTCGCCAAATAACTGGTGACGGTCAAACACATGTGTGGCAGACTTGCATTTAAGGAATGGAAGTCTGCCACACATGCATTTAAGCCAGCAAATAAACACTGAGTATTTCATCTGTGACATTTGTGAGGTTCCCTGAAACACACTCCGTCAGTCTTATTGCTCTTGAACAATAAAATATTAAAAACTGTCTCGAGTTTACCTGGTGATATTCCCATGCACGAGGCAGCCGCGTCTTGCACATAAACCTTTAAACTAAATGAAATGTTATTGTGTGTTTACTTTCAGTCTACATCGGTAAGAAGTGCCAAATGATATACACAAAGTTCCAGAAATCCCCACTCCTATTGTTCATGATGAGTTTAATGTTGTTTTACATAACAAAGAAATACGTCTTGAACAAATATTACACATTAATATTAGACTAGTGTTGTAACATCACATCCCGTTAGCATAGTCTGCCTCTGTCGTTTCTCTGGAAATGAATTCAATTTCAAAATCATCTGTAATGAGGACGTAGTGAGTTTGGATATCATATATTTGTAACTGTAGTCATCTGGGACAATCGTGTATTGTTTAAGGTAACCTCACAAACGTAACAGATGAAGTATTTAGTGCTTATTAGTCGGTTTGTTAATAGCAGCTCCTTAAAAGTCTACCAGTTAATCTGGAACACCGGTGTCCTGTCATATATCAGGTGTTCCAGTGCTGAATGGTTACATTAAGTACGCTGAGCTCAGACTGCTTTGAACTCGGACTCTATAACGTGATGCAGAGAGAAAATCCCTAGAATGGTCATCCCGGATCTCCAGGATGCTGACCATATGAACAATCCAGGAAGATGACAGTAGCTGTTCTTTCTGCTGCTGCGTTCCTCTGTTTGCTGCATTTCTTTAGCTTTGCATAATGTTCTTGGGGGGGGGGAGCTTTAATAACTTGAATGTTGCATGTTTCTAAACTGACCAAAAATTGTCAACCTGTGACTGTGGATGTGTGTTACTCTCAGGTATCTGGGAGAGGAGGAAGATGGGAGTGTGTCAAAAGAGACTCTGTCAAAGGCATTACTGGCTAAACTGCAGAAGAAGGCTAAAGAAAAGCAGAAACGCCATTCAGCTAAGCAGAGAGAACACCTCCATGAACACCCAGCAGAGCAGGTGGATGCCCAAAAGAAAAGAAAGGCTGACGTAGATGCTGGACTAGAGCCTCAGCAGCACAAGAAGAGGCACTCAGAAACAGTAGCTTCATGCAGTGTGGAGCCTGTTGAAGAGACAAATATACAACACCAGGAGGAGATCCAGTCAGGTGGTTCTTTTAATTATCGATGCTCACGTGTGATGTAGGCATGAAGACATTGAGTTAATCTTTCATTCTGCCTGTCTAAGAGCCTGGGGTATTATCAGCTTATCACACATTTGGTACATATGCTGTAAAATACACTATATTACCAAAAATATAAAGACAGACAAGGGACTGCTTTTGGCCATATGGTATATATATCCTGCTTTTTATTTCCTGGTCAAAAATAACGTGTTGCTATGCTGTGCAACACGTGTTTGGAGCGCCACAAACGCGACAGCCGGCTGGTCGGAGCAGAGATGGGCAGTGTGCAGACAAGTAATCCACAACTTTTGACAATAGACTTTTTCTGTGACGATCAAGCCAGTAAAAAGTTGCGTGAGGATAAAAAGAACCTAGTTCATGCTGTAGTCTCTGCAGATGGTCGGTGTGCTTACATCTAAATGTCTGGGTTGCAGATATTCTGCCTGAATCTACCACAGACACTCTGCCTGGGTTCACACTCATAGGAGGATTTGAGAGCAAACCCGTCCCAAAGGTAAAGAGAAGCACGATTACTCGCAGCGCCACAGGGCTTTTTACTTTCCCTCACACTGCATTCTTTTCACAGGTGGACAGAGTTCTGCCCCAGTGGCTTGCTGAGCCTCACGTCATTCACACAGACATTAAAAACAACCTAATCTCCATCTCTGATGTCCCAGGGCTATGTGCTCAGCTCCTGAAAAACCTGCATAGTAATGGAATCCAGCACTTCTTTCCAGGTGAGGCTAGTAAATGTGTTAGAGCACAGCCTTTGATTCAAATGGAGCCGTGCCAAGGAGGCTCTTTGTACTGCAGTATTACTGAAAATCGCCTTGACTTCCACACGTCTCCACAATGGGTGTTTCTAACCATGTGTCAGCTCTCACTCACACACACACTTAACCTGAGACTAAATGTTCCTCCACAGTGCAGGCAGAGGTGATCCCAGCCATCCTGGAGAGCGCCCAGCAGGGCCTGCTGATTGGGCGAGGGGGCTATAAGCCCAGAGACATCTGTGTGTCTGCACCAACAGGCAGCGGCAAGACTCTGTCATTTGTCATCCCCATCATACAGGTGAGAGCCATGTCTTTGCTGCACCTGTAGCTCAGGTGGTAGAGGAGGTTACCTACTAACCGGTGGTTAGTAGGTGGTGGTTTGATGCCAGTCTGCTCCAGTCTGTATCCTTGGAATCCCCACCCCATCGATGCATCTGTCAGAGTATGAATGTGTCTGAATGTTAGATCGGAAACACTTAGAAACAGCGCTTGGGTGATGTACAAGTTGTGTAAATAAGAACCGGTCCATTTACCATTTACTTTGTCTGCTGCCTGTTTGGAGTACACAGACAGTGAGGGTGTTTTCTGTGATCAGGTGCTGATGGACAGGGTGGTGTGTGAAGTCCGGGCTTTAGCCGTGTTGCCGACCAAAGAGCTCGCCCAGCAGGTGAGACCCTTTTCAAGCTGTCTGCGTCCCAGCAGTGCTCCACAGAGCCCAAAACTCAGCTCACATTTTCTCCTGTGCAGGTTCACAGGGTGTTTGCATCGTATGCCGAGGGAACCACGCTCAAAGTGGTGATGCTGGCAGGTCAGAAGTCCTTTGCTGCAGAACAGGCATCACTGTCAGAACACAGGTGAGAAATCGAGCTGGCTCTAACAAAGCTTCACAGAAACGCAGCGGCACATCTCCTGTCAGAGTCCTCGGTGCACATGTGCAGTGGGGAAAAGGCTGAGCTCAGCATCTATGTCATGTTTGTCCGTGCAGGTGGAACATGAGGCGTAGTCTAGCAGACATTGTTGTGGCCACTCCAGGACGACTCATTGACCACATGACCAAGAATTCAGGCTTATGTTTGGAACATCTGCGGTTTCTGGTGAGTGCTGTTGAAATCTGTCGAGCTGCAGTAGTGAGTTCACTCGTCAGTGTGTGTCACACAGTGTGTGTCTTCTACTTGCTCAGGTGATCGATGAGGCGGACAGGATGATCGACAGCATGCACCAGTCCTGGCTCAGTCAGGTGATGGGAGCAGTGTACCGATCGAGAGCTGAACCTGGGTCGGTGTTCAGAAGGACAGAAGCAGCGTGCATCACATCAGCCAGGTGTGTGTGTGTGTATGTGTGTGTGTTATCTACTGTGGGGTGATTGAGATGATGTCAGTCTCATTCTTGGCCACAAACTCAGGCCAGCAGAAGAAAAGCTTAAAGGTTACAGTTAAGTAATAAAAAGGCAGCTGGGAATGTTTTCATAGTGTTATGTTAATGTTTTTGTGGGATTTTAAGTGAGAAAATAACTGAAAAGAATGATGCAGAAGTTTTTAAATAAAAAAGAGTCAGTGTGCTCACCAGACACGGTGGTGTTAACCATAACAGAAGAACTCCAATTCTGCAGCCAGGACTTAGGTTCCAGGTCGGTGCTCAGCTGACCGCCTTGTCCTTGTAGTCTGTCTCCACCTCAGACGCCGCTGCAGAAGCTGCTGTTCTCCGCCACGCTCACACAGAACCCAGAGAAACTGCAGCAGCTGGGCCTTCACCAGCCCCGACTCTTCAGCTCCACCTACGGTCACGCCGACAGCGCTGCAGCCTCGCCAACCCATGGGCACGACCGCTTCAACTTCCCCCAGGGTCTGACGGTGAGGGCTGCCCTTTTGACCTTTAGCAGGGAGTGGAACTAAACCAGAATTTGATTTGTACAGGCTGATGAGGCTTTGTGTTTTAGGAGTACTACGTTCCCTGCACCATGAGCAGTAAGCCCCTCCTACTCCTCCACTTCATCCTGCGCATGAAGCTCCACCCAGTCCTCTGTTTCACCAATTCCAGAGAGACTGCGCACAGGTAGGAGAGCTCCTGAAATCACATGACTGAAGGCTTCTTGTGCTGATTCTACCTCCCTCCTCCTCAGGCTTCACCTGCTGCTGCAGCTCTTTGGTGGAGTCCAGGCTGCCGAGTTCTCCTCTCAACTCTCCCCAGGTGACAGGAAGAAGACCCTGAAGGAATTTGAACAGGGAAAAATCCAACTGTAAGTCTGTGTCTGTGTGTGTGAGCTTGTATTCATATCTTTGTGGGGACCAAAATGCAGGTCCTAAAAAGTTTGAAGGCATTTTTCAGACTCAAAATG